TAAATTCTAAAATAACAAAATATCTCCTATTAATCTCACTTCCGCTCTCTCCTCGCTTTTCTCATCCTCTTCCTGCTTGTCGTCATCACTTGAAAACTCATCCTGGCGTTTATGTTCTCGAACTTTCCTTTCAGCCTTTAGCTGAGCCAACTTTCTCAAATATTCTCTTTCCAGGATGGCCTGCAAAAGGACAATTTCATGCTGAATTTTGACAGGAAGAAGCCTACCAGCTCTGAACTATCCAAGTGAAATTCTTTGGAGTCCTCATCAGACCATTTAGCCTTCTTATGCTGTTTTCTGGCCTTTTTCTGGGTGGTAGGTTCTTCTGAGGTTGTAGATGGGGATACTGTAGTAGAAACTACAGTAGTCGTTTCGGTTGTGGGCATTTCTGTGGTAGTGGGAGGTACTGTAGTTGTCGTGGCAGGAGTAGTGGGCGTAGTAGTCGTTGTGGTGGTAGTGGTCGTCGTTGTCGTGGTTGTAGTCGTTGGGAGCGTAGTTGTGGTAAAAGGTGACTGGCCCTTTATTCTGAAAAGCAGTCCTGTGTTAACTCGTTACCGTAACCCTACAGTATATCTACGTTAAAATCCGTAGATGCTCGACGCTAAGCTCACCTTGGAAGAAGTAAATAAAGCAATCGTTCGTTGATAATATTATCTCCGTCCTTTTTCTCTTGCAGAATCTTCTTCAAATCCTCCTGCCTAACGCTAGGAGCGATAGTGAACTCGCGTGGGTCCGGTGGAACAATCCTAAGCTTTAACACTTTCCCACAATTGTAAATAAAATCCGTAACAACTTACCTTTTCGAATGCGGTCGGGAAGCCATGTTTCTCAAGACTCTGCTCCAAGCTCCAAGCGCATCGCGAACGCCAAACTGATCGCCCAAAGCTGCGATTTGCGACGAGGGCTGATGCGTTTCGCCGCCACCGAATAAGCCGAATTGCGCGTTGACTGCGTTGATAAGCAGTACAAGCGCGCACCACACGCGCATCAGATGCTAAAATTGGTCGTAATTGAGGTAAAATAGAGCAAAATCAATGGTAAAGGTAAATAATGTCAACGACCAGCGAACAAAACACATATGATTCTGCGGTTCGACGAAGAAATGCATGACATTTCACGACAAAACTTTACTAGATTATGCTCCAAGGACGATACGATACCGATCGTAAATTGTGAAAAAAACCAGGGTGTCGCCGGAGATCGCCAAGATTTGTGTCTCGTCAAATCTAGGTTTAATATGCTAGTTATGAATAAAAGGGTCGAATTGAATACCATTTACTTGGCAATTCGCATCTTTTGACTTTAGGTAGCTCCTGTTTGGCTGCGGCAGGTAGGTTTCTGTTACTTTCAGAATTCATTGCTTGCTTTAGATTACTCTGTGTGACTAATACTATACGTACATTCGCTGCAGCTAAAAACTGAACAATTATAGTATAGCTACCGTACCCCAGCCGGCACTTCCATCTCACTTAAGACAGATATGTTTTGCAAAGCGAATTTCGGTGAACTTCGGCAACCATGCAGAGGAGAAAGAGACTAGTCAACAGA